GATGAAACTTACGGTAGAATAACAAGAAGTATGAACATGTCAAATACTTTTTGCAACACACTTCTGCATAGATTTCAGATTCAAATACCATCTTCTCATTGGTAAATCTCTCAATTTGTTCTAAACATTTCTCAGCTTCCACTTTTCAGCTTCTCGAAAGATTTACCTGCTATCAGCATCATTATGACATAATAGAAAAAAAAAAAAAAAAAAAAAAAAAAAAACCATAGTAATTGACAAGCAATGACAAATTGAAGAGGTTATTGACTTCTGATGGAAGCAATAAGAAACTAGGAAAATAACTTGTTCAACACAATAAGACAATGGCAAAAAAATTGTACGCTGTAATCTTCCTACAGTCAGGCGACGGTTGGAATTTCCATCGCCATTCAAGTTTTGTCCCTTCCTTTTCAAAAGCCTATGAAAGCTGCAAAAAAAAAAAAAATACCACATAATTCAAGTTTGAAATTAATCAATTATTGACTTTTATAATGGGGAAAACAAAATTCAATTTCTGAATCAAAGAAATTTGGAGAAAAGGAAAAGCTAACTCTTTTAAAGTCATCCAGCATCAACGAACTGGTACACTAAACCGGGCTGTTGAAACCTAACACTGTTCGGCTAATCTGATGTACTCAGTTACCGGCTGATCCCGCTGAGCCGCTCTTTCCTTCACCTACTCCTCCGTAGCTGCCACAATTTTCAATTTTTTATTTTAAAAAATCACTAAAAAAACGAACAGTTTTCTTAATAAAAATTGTGGAAATTTGGTTAAGAGGGTACCGCTGCAGACCCAAATGGGAGGCCGTGGGTGACGGAGAGGTTGAAGTGAGTATCGAACCAAGTGCCTTTCACGAATAGCGGTTCAGTGCTAGGAATTTCGAACTTGTCGTTCAGCTGGTTTCCATTTTTTTTTTTTTTAAGATTTATTTTTGCTTCTTTGAGAAAGTTTATGGAGTCTTCCCGCCTTCTCTTCGCTTCTTATTTTTTATCTTTTCACTTTTTGTTTTAATTTTTTAATGAAAAGAATAAAGACATCTCATTTTTTTTTTATATCTTTTACTTTTTATTTTTAGATTAGATAAATGTTATAACAAAAATCAATTAAGTAGATATAATAAAAACAAAAAATTTTTTTGATCTACAGTAATACAGGGATATTTTGCTAGTTTTTATATGTATTATATTAATAAATTATTACTTAATATTTTAATTTAAAATATTAATTTAATAAAAATGTTATATTTATATATAATTAAAATATAATTTATATTAAAAATAATATTTTATTAATATCATACTAAATTAAAATTATTAAATTAATTTCAACTTTCTTACATATTTATACATATTTATAAGTCGAATTGGATATAAAAAATGATATTTTAATATCGAATAAAGTCAAAAGTAAATTTCATGAAGTTAATTCGGAGTCAAACCAAGAAAAATCCATCTTGACCCGACAAGTTATCATCCTTAGAAATGGCCTTCATTTTTTATTTTTTTATTTTTTTATTTTTTTATTTTCATTTTATATTATAAATACATAAATGTTCTTATAATTCAACTTTATTTTTATTTTTATTTTTATTTAAAAATTAGGAAATAATTTTATAAATTTAATATAATAAATTTCACTATTATATAATAAATAATAAATAATTAAATTTTATTATTAAATAATAAACTCTTATTTTATTAATTTTTAATTATATATTAATAAAACTTATATTTTCCATAAAATACTTTTAATCATTTTTAATAATTTATTGATTTTATAATTATTAAATAACTTAAATTTTTCATTAAATACAATTTTTAATTTATTATACTTAATGATCATTTATTTTCTTACTATAATTCGCATTATTTGTCATGGTGTATTTACATAATATATTTTCGATATTACATTTAATATTATTGCTACAATAATTATTTTTATATTTATTATTGTTTTTAATTTAATCAGAATCAATTTCACGTCTAATAAATAGATTTAAAATGCTTAACTTTCATTTAATATAAAATGATTTTGTGTTTTGTTGTTTACTTTTTTATTTATTTAATTTATTTTTTGCTTTCTATTTAATTTTTTAAAAAATCAACCAAAAAATTAAAAAATTATAATTTGAAATTTGAAATTTCATTTCTTTGATTTTTTTTTACTCTCCCATAATATTCACAAGCAAACATATGATAAAACCCATACAATTTGTTCAATAATAAGTTCAGTAAAATAATTTTGGAAAAAACGATTTTTTTCTGTCAAAAAAAGATTCGATCTTTGTTGGAAGATTTTGAGGATAAAATTATAAATAAATTTTATAAGAGAATGTGATTTTAAAATTCTTAAAAAAAAAAAAAAAATCAAGACAAAACTTTAAAATGCCTATGGTAGAAGAGGATGTCTGTAAGGTTGTAACTTATTTCTTCTGCACTAGGGACATCATACCTGCATTCAACTCAACTATAGTTGCATTGGTGCCTAAATGCCTTAACCATGGTAGCATTAAGGATTTTAGACTAATTTCTTGTTGTTCTATTATTTATAAACGCATTAATATGATTCTAGCAAACAGGTTGAAGAGGTTACTACCAGGAATTATTAGTAGCAGTCAGAGAGCCTTTATAGAGGGGCGGAGTATAACAGACAATGTTCTTATGGCACAGTAAATGATAAGGGGATACGGAAGAACAACATTGTCAGCAAGGTGTGCCGTCAAGATTGATCTCTATAGGGCTTTTGATTCGTTGGATTGGGGATTCATCATTGCAGTTTTATCAGCCATGGGATTACTTGAAAAATTCATAAGTTGCGTGAAGAGCTCCATTATCACCCCATTTTTTTCTCTTTCACTCAATGGAGGCTTGGTAGGTTAATTTCAAAGAGCCAAAGGAATTAGGCAGAGAGATCCTCTCTTCCCTCATCTGTTTGACTTGACAATAAACGTCCTCTCAAGGCTATAGATGCAGCTGCTAAGTATGGCGTTTTTTCCTACCACCCAAAATGTAAGAGAATCAGTTTGACACACCTATACTTTGAGAATGACCTATTGATATTTGCAGGAGGCATTTTGGATTCTGTTATGGGGGTGAAGAAGGTGCTATGCCAAGTCTGAATTGTAAATCAACTGTGAAAAAAAATGAGTTGTTTCATTCAGGAATTAGTAGAGAAGAATTGTAGGAAATACAACAAGCATTAGGATTCAAGATTTGTGTGTTACCTGTTAGGTTCTTTGGAATATCATTGGTCACCAGAAGGCTTACCGAGCAAGTCGGTTTGGCACTGATAGATAAGATCACAGCCAAGGTCAAGTGCTAGGCAGCCAGATAGCTTTTATATGTAGGGAGATTGCGGTTGATCTGACCAGTGTTAGACAGCATATAAAGCTACTGGTGTAAGCATTTCATGCTTCCTAGGCATGTGTTGCAGAAGATTGAGAAATTATGCTCTAGCTTCTTCTGGAAAGGAAAAGATGGATCAGCAAGGGGGGCCAGAGTCAGTTGGAAGGCAATCTGTTATCCTAAGTCAGAAGGAAGGCTAGGTCTCAAAGATTTAAAATTATGGAATAGGCTTTGTTTATTAAAACATGTATGGTCAATCTTCATCAAGGTAGGATCAATATGGATTGCATGGCTGGAAGCTCATGTGCTTAAGGGGAGAAGCATTGGGAGGATTCCAGCTTCGAAAAACAGCCGCCAGAGCTGGAGGAAAATTCTCCAACTACGAGAGATTGCCTTGAAATTCATCAAGATGGAGAATGATACTGAGGTATGGTCTTTTCCACGGAATTGCTACTCTGCTACAGTAGTTTGGAATGAGATCATAATTAAACAATGGAAGGTAGGGTGGCATAGATTAATTTGGTTCAAATTTCATGAACCAAAGCATTCTCGATTTCCTGGATGACAATTTTGAATTAGCTTCCAACTAAAGACAGATTGAGAGCTTGGGGTACGGAGGTTGAAATTAGATGCTGTTTGTGTAAAAATGGTTGAATCAAGGGACCATGTATTCTTTGGATGTGACTTCTCCAAGGAAGTGTGGAAAAGGATCCTACTTTTGTCTAAGATTGACAGAACAGAGAAGAGTTGGACAGCAGAACTACGCTAGGTAGTGAGTAGATTAAAAGGGAAAGCATTGATCTCAACTGTACTGAAGTTGGCATGAAATGCATGCATTTACTAGATTTGAAGGGATAGGAATCAGAGGATATTCAAACAAATGGAAGAATCAATAATGCAATTGATTAATGAAACACAGGACACTACTAAAGTATGACTACAGGGGATAAGCAAGATTGCCGCAGATTCAGTAAACAAAGTATTGTGTGAAGTATGAACATTAAATGTTGAAATGTTAGACTAGACTGTTGTCTGATATACTTAATTTTATATGTTGTTTCGAAATTCCGCTAGATTTGGGTAAATAAAAATTACAATTTATCCACAAAAAAAAAACGAACAAGTTTGGGAATTGGAATAATTTGAAGTGAAAAGTTATTAAATTTTGATAATAAGATTATTAGACCTAGGCAAGATAAAATTGCTTGAATATTCGTAGCATTTCACACACAAAATTTCGAAGTTGGAAGTTGAAACCCATAATCAATCTCCTTAACACAAAAAAACAAAGAGCACCAACGTTGGATTTGCATTTTGCACTTATGTTTTTTTTTGTTTTATAAAAAATAAATTAGAATAAATAAATTATTCAATTATTTAAATCAAGATAAAATATATCATATTTAATAATTTAATATAAATAATTACAAATCGTGTATTCGAAATAACCATAATAAATGATCACTAATAAAATTCAAACTCAAAATTTTTTTGTAAAAAAAAATGACTTTAATCCGATTAAATCAATGACTTATCATCGGTATTTTGCACTTATCTCACGAGCAGCTGTGTCTCCAATTAAACACCTAAATATAATAATAAGCTAATCACATTAATAACCACCAAAGAACTCCCAAAACCAGGAAAGAAAAAAGATGTCTTTGAGATTCTCTTACTCGCATTCTCTACCCCTTGTCTTTCTCTTCTTCCTTTGTTCCACTCCTTCAATCTTGACTCAACACAATGAGGACCCAACAACCAAAACCATGCAAGATTTCTCTGGGTACCCAGTTGATGAACCACCTCATCATTTTACATCAAACTCACTTTCAGTTGATGCTCAAACTTTACAGAAACAGGTACTTTTAATCCCCCAACCTGTTTTTATTGGACTCTAGGAAGTGATTTTAAATATGGGTTTTTTGTGTGATGGGGTTTAATATTGTGAAATGGGATTGTTTAGATTGATGAGCTATCAGCTTTCTCGGATACACCTGCCCCATCAGTTACTAGGATTCTCTACACTGACAAAGATGTATTGGCTCGAAGGTAAGGTAACGATTGTATTTATTTCTTAGTTTTTCCTCTGATCAAAAGACTCAATCCTTTTATTTTGTTGATACTACTACTGCTGCTGCTGCTGAATGGTTTTAGGAGCAATTGTAATTAGCAGGAAATGATTGGGCATATTCGTTTGTCATGAAGGGTTATCTTTTTCTTTTGCCCAAAAGAAAGAGTGAAGGCTTAGTTTAGTTGAGTCGTATATATAATTCAGGTTCAATGAAGTTAATAGGAGCATAGGGCTTGGCACGATTTTTTTTCATGTGTATATGCTTCCAATTTTATCCATTTTTTTAGATCTTTGCTTTTGTCTTCATGTAAATTCTTTGCAATATTTAAGTACAGGTACATAAAAAATTTGTTGGGAGTCGCTGGGCTTTCTGTCAGAGAGGATGCCGTTGGTAACATTTTTGGTCGGTGGTAGGTGTGTTCTTCATTGATTGTCTATTTTCCCCCATGTAATTAAGATTATTCTTGTTATTATTTATTTCTGGGAATTCAAAACCGGCTTAATTTAGTGATTGATGTTTGATTATTTCCCATATTGGATTGCATCGGTATTCTTGTAAGTTAACAGGTGGGTGGTGCAAAATTATCAACATAGCGTAACTGGACTAATAAAGATAAAGCCCATCATGGAAATAATAATGAGTTGAAATATTACAAATATAACAAGACCTTCATTTTCTTGGATCACATGTTCCATTGCTTTCATTTTGATTCTTTAGATGCTTTTTGCCATGTAGGGATGGCTATAAAACAGAGCTCACTGCAGTGGCAACAGGTTCTCACATAGATGCTATTCCATACTCTGGAAAGTATGATGGTGTTGTTGGTGTTTTAGGTGCAATAGAAGCCATTAAAGCACTAAAGAGGTTTGTGACTTTTCACCAATGTGAGATTGAACCTATAAAATCCTTCATCCCTAATGGCTAATGCAAATGTTGCTTTTAAAAATATTTTATTCATTTTTTCCCAAAAATGAAAAGATCTTTATTTTGATAAATGTATATGTTTTCTGTTAAGATCTTTGTTTTACCAGTTTATTGCATTGTGGCTAAAACTTTCGTCCATGATAATGGAATTCTGTAGGTCTGGGTTCAAACCTAAAAGGTCATTAGAGATAATTTTATTCACTTCTGAAGAGCCAACACGCTTTGGGATCAGCTGTTTGGGAAGGTTAGCATGACCGAATGGTAGCCATGCACAGTTTTTTTTTTTTTTTTTCCTGTTTGAATCTTCTGTCACCTCATTTTTTCAGATTTAAGCTGTTACTTTTACAGATTAAACTTCAACATATGTCTCATAGCTGGGTGTAAGTTCTTGACTCTGGTTTGAAGTCTCTGATATGTTTCTTCAACATGCAGCCGCTTATTGGCAGGTGGTATAGCACTTGCTAAAGCTTTGAAGACAACAGTTGATGGCCAAAACATATCCTTCTTAGATGCTGCAAGATCTGCGGGATATGCAAGACATGAAGATGACTTATCCATTGTGTTTCTAAAAGAAGGAAGTTACTCTGCTTTTGTTGAATTGCATATAGAGCAAGGGCCCACTCTTGAGGAGGAAGGTATCTCACTTTTGACCGTTACTGCTGTCTCTTTCTTGCGGTATCTGTCGATGCTCAAATCCACATTATTCCTCAATTCAGGTGTATCTATTGGTATAGTAACTGCCATTGCAGCCCCTGCAAGTATAAAAGTAGATTTTGAAGGCAATGGTGGCCATGCAGGTGCAGTCTTGATGCCAAACAGGTCAATATTATCAATAACAACATTCTTATTTCCTCAATGCTTCAGAGTTAATAACACTAACGCCAACTTATGCTGCTTTCATTGATGCCAATCGTTCATTCATATTTCATATATATTTATATGCATGCGTTAGAGTAAGTTGGTTTAGATTTGGATTGTGTGTTAGATCATCCTTGTTATACTCTTTCTAGCATGCTTATTAAGTTGAAAAGATCCATAATCTGTAAATGTATTATGAAGTGCAGAAATGATGCAGGACTGGCAGCTGCTGAGTTAGCGCTAGCTGTTGAGAAACATGTATTGGAATCTGGATCAGTTGATACTGTTGGTACAGTAGGTAAATCCAGAGAAAATATTTTTGTGTTTCCTCATTTTATCTATGCAAAGTTCTTTTGCACTAATTAAATCTTCCTCTATTTCATCTGAATAAATTTTTATGGACCTTTTATAAATTTATAATATCTGTTTTCCCAGGGATTTTAGAACTGCACCCAGGAGCAATCAACAGCATCCCTAGTAAATCACACCTTGAAATTGGTATGTATCATGTCAGCGAGTATTCTTCCAAGAGAACAAGTTTACCCTGAGAATTTTTAGTCTCATAGGTTTTCAGTTCAATTCATTAGTTGTTCCTTTGAACCTAATCCAAATCAAGAAAGCTTACTCCCAAAAAGATAGAACCATTATTTTCTTAAATTTGTATTACTACTTCACATGTATGAGGTCTGACCTTGCCCTTGGATAATCTGATGTGTTTTCTTTTCTTATTACTTGTCTTTTTGGTAGACACACGAGATATTGATGAAAAGAGAAGAAATGTTGTTATTGAGAAAATCCAGCAATCTGCAATTTCAATTGCCAGCAAGCGTAAGGTCAACCTATCAGAATTCAAGATCATAAATCAGGACCCGCCAGCCCTTTCTGACAAATCAATAATTGAAGCAATGGAAGCTGCATCGAAAGAGCTGAACCTAACGCAAAAGTTTATGATTAGCAGAGCTTACCATGATTCACTGTTTATGGCAAGGTAAGGGAGGTAGAACGATTGTTGCACAGGGCTGAAGATGAGGTCCCTCAATCCTTCAGATTTGTAACTTATGAAATGCAGAAGAATAGGGGGTATATAAAACTATGCAGTTTCCATATCTTTTAGATTATAAATTTTAGGATAATTACTGAAGAGTGAATGCTCGACTCTAGCATCCCAAGATATTGAATTGTAGAGAATACTAGGCCTACTGAATTTTGCTAGATTATACTATCTTCAGATGGCTATGGGGGATGCATGTTCTCCCGGAAAGGTGCTGGAATTGTCATGATTCTGCCCTTCCTCCTATGTTGGAAACATGCATGGTTGTCCACATAGAGAAGAAAAGCTCCTGACCGTGGATCCATTTCCTAAGTGTCAACATTCATTTTAAGTGAAAAGCCTGGTTCAGGGGTTAGTCACTACAGGAAAATTTGCTATGAATACACAATTAAACATGTCAAAGGATTCACAATTCACTCTTATCATCATTATCATAATGATTATATAACATAAATAGCTGCTGATATTTGCATTTCACATTCCTCCAGGATATCTCCTATGGGCATGATATTTATTCCATGTTACAAAGGCAAGATTTCATTTCTGTTACATTTTTTCTATCAATCCTTCTAAATCAACTTATTTTACTGTAATTACATTATCACAGAATGCCAGGAATCTCATTTGATTAACAAGTTCTATGTCACCGTTGCTTTTAAATTACGTGACTGAGGAAGCATGCTCATCTATTGCCACTCTGTATTTCAGAAAGAACCAATATGAGAAACCGTAGCTAGGCAAACTAGCAACTTTTGTACTTATGATCATCAAAACAAGCTAAAATATATTGAATCTATTGCTTTTGCAGGATACAGCCATAAGCCTGAAGAATATGCTTCCACTCAGGATATAGCAAATGGGGTCAAGGTGTTAGCGCTGACCCTAGCCAAGTTGTCCTCGCGCTGATGTGTTGTATATAAATTTTCTAAACTAGCTGCTCAGAATATTGATACAGGTTAATGCTGAATTATCCACCCCTCTGTGCCTCCGTGACTTTCTGCCTGTATTTTCAATAAAAAACTGTCATGAATAATTGCATGGTAGCATTTTATTTCAAAATTATGGAACTTTGTATCATGATAGAGAATCCAATTTCCAAGATGTGGAACTCCAATTCTTAGAAGGGCTGTATGCTTAAAATGTTGGCTTCATATGCTTCTACAATATAGAAACTAATCGTCCTGTTCCACCACAGCTCCACCCAAGTGTTTCAACAACTCCAAGCCTCCAACATTTGACTGATGGTCTCAGGAAAACAAACAATGCTTTGACATTTATGACAAATATTTGGCATTTGGGGGTATGGGATAAACTTGTTCTTCTCCGTGATCTCTTGGGATGACCCAGTTTTTGCAGAAGTGATAGAAGCAACCTTGCCGTGATGATCAGTACAGCAATTACATCAAATAATAACTGCCGATGATGATCTACTCGTTGTTGGCTTCTTTTTTGATTTAGGGCTCTCTGAAGAAACTGCTGCATTTGACTCCATTGATTCAACTCGTTTCTCTCTCTCTCTCTCTCTCTCGTGAAAATGGCGGGAAAAGTTGGTTATTCAGTCGAGGAGAGAAAATTGCTATGTGAAATGTGATCTGGGATTGGGAGGGGGATTTTATGGGGAGTAGACTCCGATGAAGAACTGACAGGTGTTCATTTATGATGCTTATCTTTGGGCTCAAGACTGAAAATTTAACACTGACGAAGATGATAAAATTTTAAAGAGTGACCAAATTAATCATAGTTAAGCCAAATGGTAAATTTACAGAACTTCCATCTCTAACATTTCAAGTTGATATTATTTGATTTTTAACATTTCAAGTTGAATTGAACACTAAGATTGTTTGGTATGAGGTGATTTATTTAAAAATCGCAATGATCTCCATTTAATAATTATATTATTTTATAATTTAGAAATTTTGGTGATCTTAAATTATTGGGTTTATAAGATCGAGAATAATTTGATTCTCAATTAAAAGTAGTTTTATCGTTATGATAAAGTAATTTTTAATATTATTTTATGTCATAACAATTTTTTATCCAGAGGATTCGATTGTTAAATTTTGTGAAAATTTTTGGAGTTATCATCAATTTTTTTTTAGAATGTGATTTGTTATTTAAAATATTAATTTTTTAATAAAAATATTAAAATTAATTAAATTTTACTAAAAGAAGTTTAAGTTTACGAAATCAAGATTAAGTCTAATAGTATGATTACGAATGAAAAAAGTATTAATACTTTTACATTGCTCGTTTGAAAAACGATACTAATTAAACATATATAATCTTATAATTTTAATAATATAATTTTTTTATTTAAATTTAATTTCTTAAAATTTATTCCAAAAAAATTATTTCTTTGTTGTGAAATTAACATTATTATTATTTCGTATTTTATAAATTCTCTAACATTTTGGTAGAATTTATAGAAAATCATTATTTAAAAAATATTTTAAGAAAATTAACCATTCATAAAATTCTCGAAATCTCGTCATAAGATATTTTATTTATTTATTTTAAAAAAAATTTAGAAACATTTCGACTCTTTAGTGAGTTCTCAAAATTTATTAAACAAATTTTAAGATTATCCTAATTTTTCGATGAAATCGTAAAAATTTTGAATAAGTTTTAGGATCATTTCAACTTTTTGACAAAATCCTTAATAAAAATCATTATTTTTATAGTTAAGAGAATTAATTAATTAATTAATCTTTATTTTGATTATTTTAAAATTATTTATTATTTATTGTTTAATTATTTTTATTATAAAATATTTAGATTATCCCAACTCACCAGTAAAATCTAAATATTAATATCTTACTTGTATTAAAGAAAATCGAATTTTTTTAATTTTTTATTTTTTAAAGAAATATTCAAAATATCAATTATTTTTTTTCTTTTTTCTTTTTTTATTATTTTACATTGTTTAAATCAATCTTTGTTTTAGTAAAAATAATTTTGAATTATCTTAACTTTATGGTGAAATTCGAAAAATTATTTTTACTTGTAACAATTAAAGAAAACTAAACTCTTTTAGCTTTATCTAAAAATTACATTTAAAAGATTTATTTAAATAATTTATCATTTTTTATTTTGTTTATTATTTATTATTTTTTTATTTTTTTAGCAAAATTATTTTTTAAATTATCCCAACACTTTGGTGAAATTTAAATAATAATTTTGCTTGTTATAAAATTTTATTTTTCTTAAATAGTTTTTTTTTTTGCATATTATATCTTGTAGGTCCTTATTTTATTTTAGTTTTTATTTTTTTATTTCTAAAAGAATTATTACTAATAATAATATAAAATAACAATAATAACAATAATATCATAAAAAATAAACATAAAAATCAACACAAAATAAATCAAATCAAATCAAAATCAAAATAAAAAAAAAAAGGGAAAACCTATGAAATGAGTTAGGTTGGTGCGTAGGTCGACACGCGGATCTTACACAGGTTGAGTGCAAGTCAGACACTTAAAATAACATCATTTTCGAGTCCCTATAAAAGGCTTGATTCAGTTTTTTTTTCTTTCCCAACTCTCTATTTACCTTAGAGCCTTTATCTCTAAAAGACCCAACCTCTTCTAGTGGACGCCATGGAGTCAGTTTTTGACCAATTTGCTACTGTGCATTGATGGTAAAAAACTTCAACTTGTGTGCAAAATTCAAACCCTACCTAGATTTCAATCACTTTTCTATATTCCGATCGTAAAAAAATTCAAACCTTTTTAGAATCCGATGACTCAAAAAATTTTCTAAAAATTTTCAAAAAGTTTCAAATTGATCTTTTTTTATTTTTAAACACTCTTTCAAGCCCAAATTTTTTTAAAAAAATTTTAAACCTCTTAAATTGAGGATTTCATTTTTGGTCCTTTTTTAAAAAAAAAAATTTTTTTTGTTTGCAGCTGGTTCCTCTTTTAAAGTGGATTTTGATTTTTTTTTTTTTTGTTTTGACAATATTCCCTTCCTATGTTTTTCCTCTCTCTTTTTTTTTTTTTTTTTCCAGAGATTAGCTCTATTTATAGAGCTTTTGAGAATCAAATCTCAAATCTCTTAAGATCTCTTTTGTGAAAAAATTTATAGATCTGTTTAGTGACCTTTGGTCATTGGATTTTATGTTGTCAAGTTAAGCAGTGTCAGAGAGAAAATATCATTCTGGCAGCTTGATTTCAACTACCAGAGTTGAAACCAACAAAATTTTTTTTTTATTTCTTTTTTTTAAATAATAATAATAATAATAAAAACAAAATTACATCAATCAAAATTTATGTCCACATTTTATAACTAATTCAACCGCATAAAAAATATAGTTAACATTATTCCAAAAAGCTGGCCACTAAAAATTTAAAATAATATTGATTTTTTAATCACTTATTTTAAAAAGGTTTTATGTTATAAATTTATATTGATTAAAAAAAGATAATGAATTTATTTAATAATTTTTTAAAAATTATTTTTATCAAAATTGATTTAAATTTTGTAAATATTTTACAAAATAACATTTAATTATTTTATAAATTATTGATTTAATAAGTATTAAATATTTTACTTTTTTGCAAGGTTATTTTGAATATTATGTACTATAAAATTTATTTTTTATCTAATAGCAAACATAATGATTTTAAAAATACAAATAATTTATAATATTATATCAAATATAATATTTAAAAGCATTGATGATTTTACCACCATAATAATTAAATTACTGTAATAATCTTTAAAATATTATCAAATGCCAAAAAAAAAAAACCCTAAATGATCATGTATATTACCATTTTCAGAGTGGTAAAATGTCACTTTCATATTTGACCTTAGGTGATGTCAATTACCTTGTTTTATCCACTTTTAGAAATTAAAATCTCAATATTTATAAATTTTTTATTTATAAGCAATGGTTTCTTTATATATATATTATCGTAACGTCTAGATCCGGGGATCTATCGCCAGACATTGACTTTAGGGAGTCGCCACCAATCTTTTTTTTATCCAGGTGTGATTGGCCACCTAAGGAATCTGCCCTTTTAGGGAACACCTAAGCTTAAGGGTCCCTAAAAGAATAGGTTCGGGTCTGCTTAACCAGAACAGAGTTCGGGAGTTCGGTTACGTGTGAGGAAGGTTATAGCACCCTCACAACGCCCATCAAAAGATGGTACCAGCTTGAATTTGTGTTATCCAAAAGCCTTAAAATTTTACCAAGTAGTTAGTTGTTGAAAATTATTCTCAATTGACTCTAATACTTTTAGCAGAAAATTGAGAAAATTCCCTCACCTCAAGAGTATGCAAGAAAAACTACTGTTTCACTTGCAGAGGCTCCGTCGTCGGATTATTTAAAGAAAAATCAAGATCAACCAATTAATTAATTATCGAAAATTATTCTCAATTGACTCTAATACTTTTAGCAGAAAATTGAGAAAATTCCCTCACCTCAGGAGTATGCAAGAAAAACTACTGTTTCACTTGCAGAGGCTCCATCGTCGGATTAATTAAAGAAAAATCAAGATCAACCAATTAATTAATTATCGAAAATTATTCTCAATTGACTCTAATACTTTTAGCAAAAAATTGAGAAAATTCCCTCACCTCAGGAGTATGCAAGAAAAACTACTGTTTCACTTGCAGAGGCTCCGTCGTCGGATTAATTAAAGAAAAAAAAATCAAAATCAGCCAAGTAATTAATTATCGGAAATTATTCTCAATTGACTCTAATACTTTTAGCAGAAAATTGAGAAAATTCCCTCACCTCAGGAGTATGCAAGAAAAACTACTGTTTTTACTTGTAGAGGCTCCGTCGTCGGATTAATTAAAGAAAAAAGAAAAAAAATCAAGATCAAAATCAAAGTCAAATAAAAAAAAATTCAAAAAAAAAAAAAAAAAAAAACCTGGAGCGGCTCGGATCGCGGCTCGGCTTGGTGCGGCTCGGCTCGGCTCGGAGGGGCTGAAACGCGCGGGTCAGAAAGCGGGTCGACGCTTCGGGTCGGGTCGGGTTCGGCAAAACGCGCGGATCCTCTTATTAACTTAAAGCCAAAACGACGTCGTTTTGGGAGGGTATAAAAGGCACCTTCCTCCGTTTTTCAGCAGACCGTTCCTCCCCTCTCTCTCTCTTCTTCCCTTCTTCTCTGCCTTCTCTCTAGAATTTGAAGAACGCCGGTGCCGGATTCTGGAAAATTCACCGGAATCTGGGAATTTCGCCGGAAATTGGCCGGAAGTTGGTCGGATGGTCGCCGGTTTCTGGGATTCTCCGCCGGAAACTGGGTCTGTCGCCGGAAACTTCAAAGTTCGCCGGAATTGTCGCCGGAAAATTCAAAAGTCGCCGGAATTTTCGCCGGAATCTGGAAATTTCCCAGAAATTTCCAGAAAATTTTTTCGCCAAATTTTTCTAAAAAATTTTTCTCACTGCCAGAACACTCCTAAACTTTTCCTTAGCTCTCTAAACACCCCTATTCTCTCAATCAGTAGCTTTTGCTTCTGTTTTCTCTGTGTTCTTGACTGTTCCAGGGGGGTCCCTTTTATAGGGATTGATCAGGAGTTTCTGATCAATCCCAATTCCTCTTTGGACGGGAATTCAGTCTTTGAATCCAATTGGACTCTTCTGATTGAATTCCCCTTCAGAGTGGGAGTCTTCAACTTTGAATCCTAGCCCTCCAAAATAAAAATTAAAATAAAATTAAAAAAAAATCTAGATAATTGGAAAGATAAATCAAAAGATAAAAAATTTTCAAATAATATCTGAAAATC